AAGCCAACTGTCAGCTGTTTATAACAAATCCAATCCAATCCAAAACCAGCTGACAGCCATTTCTCAAGTAGTTCAAAAGATGTAAAATCATATATTTCTCTGTGAAGGAGTCAACAAAACTAAGAAAATTGAAAGGTGAATGTTAATAGGGAAAATTTATTAGCACCTGAAATAATTTACACTATAGATTTTTCAAAAACTTATCCTATAAGGTTTTTTTCTACAGTAATTTCACTCCCATTCTTTCCTTTCTTTCATTTTCTGAATTTACCTTTCCACATTCAATTGTGAACACATCTGAAATGCAGCTATATATTAAGTAAAGTAATTAGAGAAAATACTCATCTAATATGTTCACTAAATGCATAGGTTTGGTTATAGGTAACAAGTATTTTTCATGTCTGTTCTACCATGACTATGTGTTAGTGAGACGTAAGAATTATGTAAAGTGAACTTCTGCTGTTACAGGTATTCTTAGAGAATTTTAAAAAGAAACAAAGAAATCAAGTACATGGAAGCAAAAGTAGCATAGTGTTATCTATTAAAATAAATCTGGCAAGGTGGATCTCAGAACTCGGGTCAATTTTTTGTTAAGAGGCTAAAATAAGGTCCTTTAACTACAGGAAACCGAGCTTTGATTTAATATGCAACATAAGTCTAGACAAGGCTGTTTTGTACATATATTTAGAGAACAGTAGCTTCTTTAAATGTCTCTTGGATGGGAACTCATCTGAATCCAGTTACCTTCACTGATATGCCTCCGTCTGAATCAACTGCAACATGACCTTGCAAATTTAATTCTTCAGTAGAATAATGATGAGAAATTAAGCCATCCATTTTGCTCCAGCTTTTCTGTACTCTTCATCCTAAAAATTACTCCTTGGCATTCCAGCCCCACTTTCTTCCCCAACACAACAATTTTTGTTTTGTTTTAAAACACAGGAATCGTGATAGCGAACAATTGCAGTTTCACAGATGGGGACCACAGGTGCCTGTCAGTATCCCAACACTTCTGTGCTCTTCATATATGCCTTTTTCCTTACCCATCATTGACCTGACCAGGTTCTTTTGCAGTTACTTAATAACTGTGAAGTATTCGCTGATAGCATGCTGTTCACATAATAGGTTTCTCACCCTTAAATATACAATAGAAATACTCTTTACTTTACACTAGTCATACCAATGAACACAACTCATATTTGCATCTTAATTTCTATGCAGATGCAAAGTTTAGTTAGCCTCCAGCAATGTAGACTAGGACTGCGACCGATGATTATGCACAATTATACCACTGTTAATGACCATAACCAGGAAATGGGTGAACCTGTTCTTTTTACCTATAAATCGCACAGATTTTTTTTCTTACTTTCTTCTCTTCCCTGTCAAAACCCCCTATTTAATGTAGTTTAGATCCAAAGGAGTGTAACAGGGAGTCAAACTGCCATATAACTAATTCTTTCATCTCATGATAATGATGTTCTTTCCTAAATAATGGTCACTTTAATGCACCAAAGTGAGCTTACTGTATTTCCTGAAGTTCACTGAGAGCCCTGATCCAGATTACTCTAAATTCATAATCATCATCTGAGAATACCTGTGGTCTTGGTAACTTCAACCAAACAATTGCAACATTGAAAATTCTGCCAGGATCTTCTCAGAAATCCATGGAAAATTCACCTTCCATATTTGAAAATCTGTTCTTGGGAGCAAGCTGTGTCCATTTTCATTTGGCGTTTACATAATACAGAATGGAAACCTTAGCTCAAAATGGTAACCATTAATTCTGTGTTGATAAACTGATGTATCAAAGGAAGAAATGCCCTGCAGTTTCAAAGCTCTTGCTTGTTTCTCCAGTCTTTACTGTCAGTCCGCTATCTTGAATATGGTAGCTTGTATTAGTCATATTCGTAGCCAGAACAGTGAGGAAACTGGATGATGGAGCTCTAATTCCTCTGATGGGTCATGGTAAGCTCCTAAAACACTAGAAGGGACTCTGCCTACACAAATCACTGCACCCAGTTTCCACTCACACTGCTTTACCCTGTGGCTCTTTCACTCCTGGTGATGATTGCTGCTCTTTCCAGGCTTTCTTACATTGCAGTTTTTTAGCATTCTATTCATTACTGAGGTAGTGCCCAGCTGCTTGGTGTATAAAGCACAGTGGTGCCCTAATTGTGAGCTGTGCTGCTGCATTTCCTCAGGTGGTTATGTAGGATGTAAGAATGACTGCAAAAATGTTCAGGTCAGAGCAGTGCTCTGGTGCAATGCCTAGTGGCTGTACACACCATGTCCTTGTCTCCTTTCAAATGAGGGAACATGAATGCATTCACGAATATGATGTCATGTTGTCGCAGAAATGCTGAAGGCTGAGTGTGCTAGGGAAAGCTAGTGTGGTGAGATAAAATAGTCAGCCTCCTGGTGTTGCATTCCTGATTTTCACCCATCCCCAGTGCTAGACTCCCCAGATCTGTTAGCTGTTAACTAATACATTCTGTAAGAGCTTTAAGCGTATGGCAAAAATTCCAATGAAAGGGTATGCACTGAATAAAACCCAAACCATTTTAGGTCCTTCTTTCCATATTTCACCAAAGTAAGTATTTTTATGCACGTATTTCATCCCTGAGGAACTGCAGTTACCAGGTATTTTCAGAAGTTAGGACCCTTTTTTCCTGAATATCGTTACAATGTATCACAAAATACAGAGAACCTTTACAAAAGCATTGAGCTGAAAGATAGTAGAGGCACATACATAGATGTGTGAGCACAAAGAATAGTTTTATGCTATAAAATTCTGATTACTTTTTCAAAAATGAGAATAAAACGTATGATATTAAATGGGAAAGAAAAAAATGTCATTGATGGATGAAGTTTCAATATAATTCATTAGGAGCTACAGCACACATACATGTACATACATGAAACGAATTGTTAATATTGTTAAAACATTTATATAATGGATTATTAGTAAGATTTCATTCAAGGTAGAAGCATGCATTTGGGAATGGAAATGTGCAGGATCACAGTCATAATCCACTGATTATTGACAGCAAAAGGACTTAACTTCAGTGTCTATTGAATCAGCCAGTCATTTATGATTATTATTTATTCTTTTTGATAAATGGATTCATTATTCATGTTGATATATGTAATAGTTTGCCCTGTGTCCCATAGAAAATCTTCCTGTCCCGTACA